GATTTAGAAACACTGGATGGTACAACAGGCCTAGTCTACATTTATTAAAAGTTATTTATTTAAACAGACTTCTAAAATAAACATCTGACTTTGGACCTGCTCTCTCTCTCTCTCTCTCTCTCTCTTCCTCTCGCTCTCTCTCTCGCTCTCTCTCTCTCTCTCTCTCTCTCTCTCTCTCTCTCTCTCGCGCTCGCTCTCGCGCTCGCTCTCGCTCTCTCTCTCTCATTTCTGACTCTATCCACTGTCCTGTCTTAAAATGAAGGCTTAAAAACCCAAAATAAACCTTTTTGTGTAACCTAAAAAAGTTATTCAAACTAAAGTGTAGGTTTAAATAATGACGTCAAATTGTCCTTTAATATTAATCAACTTTTCTAAAAGTTATCAATATGTAGACTAACAAATGTTATCTTAGGTTTTATAGCGTAAAAGCTGCTGACGTGTTTCTTTATTTTGTATCCGAGCTTCTGAAGATATGAAAAAGTAAAATCCATGAAACCAACTTCTAAATACTGAAATAAAGCTTATGAAGAATTCTTTACCCGTATGAGTTCACTCAAACTCAGATTAATTTCTCAGTTTCGTCTAAAAATTGTTCGTCTCAGCCTCACAGGGTGTATCTCTTTAAATCCAGCGGTGGTAAAAACACGGATAAAATAAAGAAAACACGTCCTCTATACATTTTCTGACAAACTTTCCAAACAGAAGGACACAATTAAATAAATTACTTTCTTTAAGCAACATAAAACATGCATAGACGTTACCTTTAGATGGAGAAAAACAAACTGCGGCACAGATTAATAAAGAAAGTAATTCAGTGACCTTAAACCTTAAACCAAACAAACCTGTTCTCCTTTAACCCAACCCCTTACACATTACACAGGCTACATTAAAGAGGAATTAAGGAATTGTGACTCCAGCAGCTTCTTCCAGAGAACAAATAAATGAATAAAAGTCTGCCTGCACTGTCAGGGTCAGTGAATGCTGCAGATTAAAGTCATGAAGCTCACAGCCGACTGAGCAGAGAATCAGTACAGAAGATATACAAATATTAAGACTTATTTCAAATGTAAAACAAGAACACACGTCATTATTTTCCCTTTAAAAGTCTAAAAAACAAACAATAAAATAAACTACATCTGATTAGTTTGAGGATTTAGAAACACTGGATGGTACAGTAGGCCTAGTCTACATTTGATTCAAAGTGTTTTCTTAAATAGCTCTGATTTTATGAATATTATTGACTCTGGTGCTCCAGAAGCTTCTTCCAGAGAATGTGTGACTACTGCTCAGTCTGTGTTTTTAACAGAGCAGACACTAATGTGATGTTAGTGTAACAGTGTTAATGATTCCACTTATTTCACTAGCTTTGATTGTGTGAATACAGTTTTACAATGGACTGGTACAAACTGTGATGAATCTCTCAGTTTGGTCCAAAATGTGGTTCGTTATACCCTCCTTATCTCTCAGGCCTCACAGGATGTAGGCTATCACTCTAACTACAGCGGTGGTAAAAACACAGATATAAATAAAGAAAACACGTCCTCTGGCCTCTACATTATACTCTATACCAGGGGTATTCAATTAAAATTCAAAGAGGTTCAGTTAGAGAACATTTTCTCAAGCATAGGTCCGGAACATCGTAATGTCTAACTTGAGTTATAGTTCAGTGTCATACACATTAAAGTAGCCTAGTAGTTGTATCAACGTATGTATGAAGTCAACAACTGACTGATTAAATAAAGAAATCCAATAATATTTCAACAATATTTATTCAGATTTCACATTGAACAGGGATTATAAATAATAAGTAGTATTCTAATAATAAACAAATGCTCTCTCTCATTTCAAGTAAAATAAGGTGCTGCATGTAAAAAATAAAATAGAGCTTTTGAAAAATGTGCATATCAAAATAAAGTGCTTCATTTTTGAAAAATGAAATAAAAAGGGCAGCTTGAGTTTCCCTTTTCTTTTCGTTCTTTTTTAACTCTGTTTCACATCTTAACAAACAATCTAAAATACTAATAACAAATGATAAACAATCTCGAAACATCTTCACAAGTGAACAGCTTTAACACCTAATTTATTCTTTCTTTTCCTCTTATATCCCACTCCCCTACTTTCTCTTGTTCAGTGAGAGAAGTGAGCTCGAGCTTGGCCTGCCAGGATTTTAAATCTGGGCTTGAATGGTGTCAGGGCCATTCTCATACACACGTGTAGGTGCTCATTGGTGAAGTGGTCAAGATGTACAGGGCTACTTTCCTCAGACCTAGGAAAGCTGTCTCTGAGACCATTTGGAGCCAGAAAGTGTCAGGGTCAGTCTCTCCAAAGTTCTTTTTCAGAGCCACATCTCCTTGGAGATCGACCAGTTCCATCTGGAGAGGCCCAGCATTTGCCCACTTGAAGTGCTGTGTGACTTCCTTTGAGAACCCCCTGACATCTGTGATGAGGAATGGGTTCTGAATGAACAGGGTGAGCTGCTGTCCAAGGCTGAAACTGTCAAACCGTTTGCTGAAGTTTACAATCAGCTTGTCCACAAAGTCAACAAAAGAAGATCTATCTCTCTCACCCTGAACCTGTTCCTGCACTGATGGGAAGTGTGCACAGCTGTCCTGCAGGTCTTCCTTGAACACCTCAAGTTTCCTCTGGAAGGAGCGGACAGCTGTCATCAGGTCACAAACTGTATTTTCCTTACCCTCTAGCTTTAAATTCAGTTCATTCAGGTGTGAAGTGATGTCAACCAAAAATGCTACCATATCCATCTTCTTCTCATCTTCTAAAAAGAGAGAAAATTGTGTTGCCTTCTGGCTCTTCAACTGTGCTAAAAAGGCTGCGATTTCCTTTCGGATGGACCAAAAGCGCTTCAACAGCCTGCCTTTGCTGAGCCATCTAACATTGTTGTGCAGCAGAAGGTCATCAGCATTTGCATCAACTTCTCTGAGGAATTCCCTGAGCATGCGATGCTGATGGGAAGAGGATGCCCTGAGAAAGTTAATCATTCTCATCATTGTGTTCATAACCTCAGCATACTCATCTGACAGGGTGGAGCACAGAACTGATTGATGAATGATACAATGGTAAAGAGATTAGCTCAGGATTGTCCACTTTCATTCTTGCCACAGCTCCTTTCTCTCTCCCTACCATGGCAGGGGCTCCATCTGTGGTTAATGAAACCACTTGTTTTGTCTCTATTGCCCTCTGTGTTAATATCTCCTTTATGGCCAGGTAGATGTCCTCTCCTCTTGTACTGGTCTGAAGGGGCGTAACACCTAACAGGTCACAGAACTCTTTCTTCTCCTTGTTGAAGAATCTGACAAATAAACTAACAGCTGCGCATTCTCAGACACATCTGTGGACTCATCTACAGATAAGCCTAAGCATGTTGCCTTATGAATGGCTTCATCCAGCTGGGCTAGCACATCCTGGGTCAACAATTCACTTTTTTTTGTGGCTGATAATGCTGACATAGGTATTTGCTTGATTTTTTCACAAAGCTCTTCTTTTTGTTTACCCTCCAGCAAGGTTTCAGCTACCGCACTCATGCCCTCCTTAACAACCCCTCCGTCAGTAAAGGGTTTTTTATGTTGACCCAAAATCCAAGCCACTCTCAGGGAACATTCATTAGCACGTTGTTGGGCAGTGAATGATTGGGATAGTATCCGGGTGGATCGATCATATTGGGCTCTTAGATCGCTTATTTTCTGTCCCTCAGTTCGGATTTAAGTGGGTATGTTAGCGCAAAAGAGCTGTGTTGTCTCGTAGTGGCGTTTCACATTCCCGCTTTTAATAATCGCCACGGTCTCATCACGGAAAATATGAGACATACTGGCTTTGAACTGCCAGCGGCAAGAATGAACATGTAACAGTCTGTCCATTCTTGATTAAAAGCTCTGTTTTCACTGTCTACTGTCTCTTTTGAGAGCACGCCATGTATTTCCTCTCTCTGACTCTCTTCTCCGACTGTCTGTCTCTCGCCTTTGTTTTCCTCTCCTCCTCTGTGTAGCGGACTAGCGGCAGCTTACTGTTTATTCTCCCTGACTCGAATGCACAGATTTGATTGGCTGAGTATCATTACGTCAGATGACTACAACGCATGCAATTGGTTTGTGAGTTTCAGCCAGTACCGTAAAGACGATAAAAGCTGCGCCGGTTAAAATAGAAACGCTTCGTCAAAATTTAATAATTTTCACTAATTTCACGGTTACAGGTCTGGGTCCGGATAGGACAGCTTCCGGGTCCGGACACGGTCCACCTATTAGGGACCCCAGTTACTGACACACTTTCTAAAAAGAAGGACACAATTAAATAAATCAGTGCTGCAATTACTTTCTTTAAGGTGTATAAAACATGCACAAACGATAGGCCTACCTTTAGATGGAGAAAAACAAACTGCTACACAGGTTTAAAAAAAAAGTAATTCAGCGACCTTAACCACACCTGTTCTTCACTATTTCACTAATGATTTCACTATTTAAATGCGTCTTTATTGGTTTATTTTATATTCTGTATATTACTGTCTTTCATTTGTTCTTCATGTACTGTATGTTATTTAGTTATTTAATCTGCCTTTTACTTGATTTACATTGTGATATTGTTTTTGTTTACCTGACTGTATATGCGCATTACTCTTCTTGAATAAACCTAAACAAAAAAAAACAAAAAAAAAAAACGGGTGGATGCGGCCGGCTCGGGCAACGCAAATGACGCCACTCCATACTGAATGAATCAGACGAAGTAGGAACAAATATCTGCCTACTGTGCGCTCCTACTGAACAGTAGATACTAAGAGTATACAGCACGGATAGTAAAGTACTGTCTACTGCCTACTGACAGATTGAGTAGGTACTTGGCAATTCGGATGCACCCACAGTCACCACCACACATGTATGGAGGCCCAGAAGTGAAGATTGAGCAGCATTAGCTACCTGTAAGTAACTACAGCTGTCAGATATGTAGTACATGTAACATATGATATTTCTCTCTGAATTATAGTGGAGCAGACGTATCGAGCGGTATAACATTTTAATACTGAGGATAAAGTCAGCAAGTTAAATTTTACATCAGTACTTGAGTGAATGTATTCAGTTACTTCCCATATCTAGGAAACTATTGTACAAAACCATAACAGACAAACATCTTCTAAATAAAGCAGGTTATATTTGTCAACAATCTCACTCTCTATTACGTCTGGTAAAGACTTCATGACCAGGTTTGCTCTCACAGGTGAATCATTTCATTCCTCTCACCTTCTGAGGAGACAAACTGTCCGACAGCCGACGACCCTCCGCCTCCCGTCTCCACAAACTCCACCTCAGACACGATGATGTTGTCCTCCAGCACGGAGCCGCAGCCCATACAGACCGCATCTCCACGCGCCTGGTCAACATCGATGTCCGAGCTGCCGCAGCTCTTACACACCCTGGAGCTCATGGTGTCGCACGGCAGGAAGCCCCAAAGCCTGATGAGGAAAAGAAAAAACTTTATTGTTTTTTTTAACACTGTTCTAATGCTCTGCCCGGTTTAAACCCCTTTGTATTGTCTTGTATTTTCAATTGTGATCACTTAATGAAGCTATGAAAGAAAGATATGAGCTCGTTCCATACTCAAATTTATGCTCAAACTACAACTGTGCACTTAATCACAAATTCATCATTATTGAGGAATTGCAATAAACACATCTGGGCCTGGGCCACGCAGGCTTAGGACAGTCAAACAATGGACTTGGGCCTGCACCTCTGTAAAAGCCTCCTTTGAGTTATTCACTGAGATCACAAAGAGGCCTAAAAAGGACTCTTAATCCCATAATCCCCTGCGGTACTTCACACGTATGCGTGAAGTAAGGGGGGGACCGGAACCTCTCTCTCCTCATTGGAGGGGACCTGAGGTAGACCGCCCATGGAGCAGGCCAGGCTTCAAAACTCCAAGACTTCCATTGTTCTTTCTCTTTCCACACGCTGACTTCAAGTGCTCGGAGACACAAGCTCACCTCCTGTTTTCTGCAACAATCTTCCTTTGTTTTAAGTTTTGGCGCACAGGTAATCCGCGGCTGGCAGTGTTCTAAATTCCGAGCTCGGATTGTCCAGTGAACGCATCTCAGTTTCTCGGAGAGCGTCAGACTATAACAGATTATCAGAACGATAACGGTCTTATTCCATCCTGCAACGAAAGGACATCAAAGGACATCTTTCCACTCGACGGACACATCGAAGCCGTTCTCGCCGTAAGGGACCCTCGCTGCCATCAGACGCCTCTGCACCAGGACGGACAGAAGATCTGCTCCATCGCCGGACTCTTTTCCTTTCACCAATCGCAGACAAAGCGATTCACAAGTGAGGCTTAATTAGGTCTGGGCAGAATTAGCTTTAGAGAGTGTTTTTAACAATTGTTGATCGAAGCAGAAACTGTAATTTTTATCTTTGTTGGACCTGCGTCCTGAGTTTTACCTGTTTAAAACTCTTGTTGTTGTTTCGGACCTCTGCGTCCTATATGTGTTTAGCGTAACAGCGTTATAATCGGGTATTACTCTTCTGATCAGAAAGGCCAGTGTAAGCCGTATTAACTTGAATTCGGCTATTGGTTTGTTTCTGTGAGTGAAGGGAATTACTCCGAGTTGTGACGCGGGAGTCGGACTGTGATCCGGCCTCTTCAGGCACGCATTTCTCCTTTATTCTCTTTTATTTCCCCTTCTACGAACACACACACACATATTCCTGTGTAAACGTACATCTGGAGACCAACTCCACCACCGCGCCATTCCGCGCACAGAGATCTATTCACTCGCGACTATCCAGACGCCTCAGAGACACAGATCGTGTAGGGCCGAACTCGGTCTCTTTTAGACATTAAGGCCACATTTAGGTTTTTGTTAGGTGCGCGCCATCGGAAGGGCGACCACGTGGGACGAAGTAATCTTCCCCCCCTTTTCTCTCTCTCACACACACACACACACACACACACACGAGATTGTCGAGATAGATACAGAAACACACGTTTATTGTGTCGATCCCTCAAATGCAGTTATCAAACACTTGTGGAAAAGCTAATGGGGCTGTCTGCTCCCATTAGCCGGTTAGCTACGTGGCATTGCTCAGCACCAGGTGGCTAGCTCAGCTTTTCTTTTTTTTTTACATTACCAAGCCAAAGACGAGTCATTTTCAACAAGCCCTTTTCCCCGCCGACATATTCATGATGTAACAAGTATTGCACATGTAGTTAGAAACGCTCATAATGACAGGTATGTGGTGACGGTGTACAAACCTTCAGTCCGGTGAAGTCAAACAGCAGTCGCCTGCAGTCACGCCGGTTAGCGTGTCAGCTCCTTTACACAAAGTGTTTTCTACTATAACCCTGATTTTAATGATTTATTTAATCATTCACCGAGAAGCTTATCGCATTGTGAGAGCACACAGCAACGTGACAGCCCGCAACGGTTCACTTAAATGCTGTAATATCACCGCAATCCTCAGCACAACACACCCGACATGTGCGTTTGATGCTGGGCAGACTCGGGCGAGACCAACTCGGTTTGGAGGGGTGGCGCGCTGTCAACATGTACTTCGATTTAAGCAATCTTTGTTCAGTGGGTTCACTTTTAGAAACTCAAAGTAGCGTTTTGATTTCGGGTTTATTTTGGGTGTTGTCTTGATTTAAAATCGTCTCTGCATGAAAGCTGTAAGCATATAAACGGCGAATAACCGCAAGCGGAATCCCCCGCTCAGGCAATGGGACTTCGTACGTCGCTGCCTTTAAATGAACAGTTCAGATAAATTGACAAGGACAGGATTATGGAATAAATACTCATAAAAAAATATCTTTCCTCTGGTTTATTTGTAATGTATTTGTTCCGCTTTGGTTCACGTATTGTGTATTTATCCAGCTATTGATAAATCTAACTATAAACTAAATTAACATTAATTAAATACTGAACTTTAGTACAGTTTTGAGGTAATTTAGTCTACTAGCACTACCTATACCTATCCATTCTTTTGTTTGTTTTTCCTTCTTCATTTATGCCACTTAATACAGCTATACTTTACACTTATTTGGCTGTTGCTTACTTGAAAAAGTAAGTGTGAAATACTTTTACAAAGCTGGAGACAAATTTAAATTTTGGAAAACATTTTATGAATTAAAAATTACAAAAGGAAAACACTTTCACAAAGGACAAAACAAAGTTTAACGCAGTCTATTGGGCCATATTTACCTTTATTTGATAGGACAGCTGAAGAGAACAGGAAAAGGCTTACACACTTTCTCCTGCCACACACCATAGTATTTTTTTCCACAGCAAATCCAAGTCAGCTGATGTGAGAACGCAGCAGGATATTCTCTGGAGAATTCACCTCGAGGCAATGGGAGGGGGGAGTGACGTGTATACTGTGACTGCTGCACGGTGCATAAAGTGTATACACCGTACGATCTCCATGCAGGTAATTAAACGACTGCATTAAGTTTTCTGTTTGTCAGTATGTTGTTCTCACTCTTTAGTTGACATTGTGATACAGGAATAGTCTGCATATGTGAAAACAGGTTAAGTGACCGCTTCTGGCATTTGGTACATTCCCTTTCCATCAAGATTCTGGCATTTGTAAATTCCTCTCAGCGCTCGTAAAAGTGTTTGACACCTTTTAAATTTGTTTTCTGAAATGTAAATAATTTGTGTCCTTGGTAAAAGGTGTTTTGCTTTTGTAATTTTGTTTTATAAAATGTTTTCCATAGAGTGAATTTGTCTTTTGGTTTGTACTTCCCAGCCACCGTACAATACAGATTCAGACAAACCATTCAACATCATTCGCATTAATAGAATCAAGAGGAAATCACAAAGCAGTTGGGGTATTTTTGGACTACAAATAAGCATTTGACACAATAAATCATGAAATACTGATCAATAAACTAGAACGATATGGCATCAGGGGGGATCGTATCGTAGGCAACAATTTGTGAAGTTGGGGGAGTTTTAATCATCATGCTTGGACATTGCTTGTGGCATCCCCCAGGGGTCAGTGTTGGGTCCTAATCTGTTTATTTAATACATTAATGACATACTGTATGTAAAGTCTCTAATAAACTGAAGCTGGTCTTATTTGCAGATGATAACAATATTCTTTGTTCAGGTGAGAATCTACAATTATTAGAGGTTATTACTACAGAAATGGCAACAATTAAAAAAGTGGTTTGATAGAAATAAATTGTCATTCAATTTGAATCACATAAAAATTATTTTATTTGGTAAATATAAAGCAAACACAAAAATACAGCTACAAATAGATGGTGTCAACATTGAAAGAGTTTATGTATACACATTTGTTGGGGTAACAATAGATCACAGAATCAGCTGAAAAGCTCAAATGAAACAAATACAAGCCAAACTGTCAAGAAGCATTTCAATCCTAAATAAAGCAAAACATCTTCCGGATCACAAATTTCTATTGTTGGTGTAAAACTTTAAACAGTTTAAATGTGGAGCTGAAGCACAAACAAGTTTTAAAAAATGTACAAAATTTGCTGCGGTTATGATGGTGATTATAACGGTTGTTAATTTTTTTCTTTTCTGTTAGTTTTTCTAAAAGGAATGAAGGTATATATGTAAATATGTTGACAGGTATGGTGAAGGGTAAATAGGTAATGGAGAAAAAACACTAACTTAAATGTATTACTACAAACTATATCATTAATTAAGGGAGAAGAACATGAATATAGAAGATAAAAGAAATCAATACATGTTCAAATATGTCAATGGTTGATAAATGATAGACAGAAAATGATAGACTCTCTACTGCGATGGAGGTGTGTCCATCTTGGACAAGTATAAATTGATTACACCTGTGCATGTTTGAAAAATTGCCTGTTACACGCTGAAGAAGAGCGTCGGCTCGAAACGTTCGTTTGGCAATTAAATACACAAATTTGGAGTGCTGTCCTTATCTTTTTTAATGGATGATAGATGAAATTATATTTTGCAGAAACACATTTGTATTTAATTTATATATTTTGTATGTTTATTGGTTTATATATATAAATGTGTATTGCAGATTCGTTATTTATTTATTCGTAAATGAAGATTAAATAAGGAAGCCTGTTCAACTATTAACTACAGATTAACGGAGAGGGGGTGGGATTCTATAAATTCACACTTCTTCCCACTTCTTTACGAACATGAAATTCAAATGTTCTGTTGTCTTATTTACTTTTCTTTTTGTGGATCTGTTTTGTTTGTTTTTTTATCCTGAAACAAAGGGGGGGAAAAGAAAATACAAATTTGAAATAAAGACTTCAATCAATCAAAAGAATCCCAGCAGAGAAAATTAAAGAATGAGTACACAGATGACAGTAAGATAATAGAAAACAACAGTTGTTTTTAAGGCTGAGTTGACTTCATCATCTTATGTCACTAACAAATCTTATCATTTACATTTGTTTTATCCATAAGTATCCAAATCAAGCTGTCACAAAAAGAGCTACAGATCATTATACTCAACATGGTTTTCAAACAACCAGTCAGCCCAAAGTCCAGACACAAAGTTCAGACTTTTAGATCACTGATTTAGTCTCCTCTTCATCCTCTTCATCCTGCATGGAGTAATAAGCATTGTATGATTATTCTTCATCAAAATAAACATTAAAATCAAAAGCAGCTCATTTTTTTTATATGATCAAAGTAAGTGTAAAAAAAAAAAAGAAACATGTTATTATACTTTGTGTCGTTGAACAAAATGTTCATTAATAAAGCAACATGTCATTTTCTCTGAAGGAGAAGACGGTCCGGCTTTAAAATGTTGATTTACAAAATTTCATAATTAAAATATGAAACAAACATTCATTCATGAACAATAGAGACATGACAAAAAATCCATTTACCTTTGCTGAAGAAAAAAACATTTAAATGATGTTCATAGCTTCATCTGAAAGAATACATACTGTATATGTTGTAAATACATTTTACTCACCAATCAGTGGAGGTCGGCCAGAAACGTTCTTCTAAAAATCTTCCCTCTAGCGGCAGACTTTGATCCCTGCAACAAGAGACACACTGATGATGTTTCTTTATTACAAATGAAATATGAAGAGCAAAGCAGACACTGAGCAACACATTAAACACTGTGTTGTTTCTTTATTCCATGAATGACACAAAGGATCAAAGTAGAGAGGAGGTGTTGATGTTTCAGTCAAACATTTGACTTGAAAACTCAACATCACTTCAACATCTTTTAAACAGGAGCATGGCGTTTGCTTTACATCAACCATGGGGGTTGTTTCATCTTGAAGGTCTTTGCACACTGAGTCTGTTTTTTTAAAATGTGTTTTTCAGATCTGTAATCCGATCAAAACGTTACACAGGAACCTCACACTCTGAGTCAGATGTGTTCATTCTTCTCTTCATTCTGAAAATTGTCAGTGTGAGACAGAATGGAGTCATCGAGCCGTGAGGATGACTTTGTGATTCTTTCAGTCCTTAAAAAATAAATAAATAAAAACCTCTGGGTCCACCCACTCCTGAAAACAAGACAAGAGCCAGGAGAGTTTCCCCTGTTGATAAAAGAGCTGCAGAATGATCAGCATCACTTCAGGTGTATTTCAGGATGTCAGAGTTTGATACGCTGCTAGCTATACTGAAACTACACATTAAAGGAACACCACCAATTTACACACAGAAACTGATCCTGAACACGGATTGGAAGGATGCAAAAAAAGTTAGAAAAACAAACCTGTTGTGAAAATAATAAAGACAGATGAAAGTTTTCAGAGTGCAAACATGATCGACTCAACATGAGATTGTATTTGTTTTTTAAACATGCAGCAAAACAGACTCAGTGTGTGTGTGTGTGTGTGTGTGTGTGTGTGTGTGTGTGTGTGTGTGTGTGTGTGTGTGTGTGTGTGTGTGTGTGTGTGTGTGTGTACAAACATGACTGTCAGGATTCATTGCTGAAAACACTTACTTGTTCGCGCTTTTTCTATTTTTTTGAAATAATCTTTTTTTCTTTTGACCGATCACTGTGGAGAGAAAGATTAGATAGTTAGATATCAAACCACAACAACAGATGAAAAACTTCAAGATTAGTCCAGTCAGACTTGATCTGGTTCACTCTGAATGATTAACCCAGCTTCTCATATGGAAATCAAACCTGAGTTTTTTATATGAGATATTTCTGAACCAGCAGGAACAATAATTTTATAAATATGTGAAAACAAAAATCAATTTACCTTTCTGAAGAAAAAACATTTAAATGATGATCATAGCTTCATCTGAAAGAATACATACTGTATATGTTGTAAATACATTTTACTCACCAATCAGGTGAGAGGTCGGCCAAAACATCTTCTTCTTCGATTTGAACTGTTCCCTCTGTCGCTGCAGAAGTTGCCATCTTTGATACCTGCAACAAGAGACACACTGATGATGTTTCTTTATGACAAATGAAATATGAAGAGCAAAGCAGACACTGAGCAACACATTAAACACTGTGTTGTTTCTTTATTCCATGAATGACACAA